AGGAGGCAGCAGTTGTGGGGGTTTCATATTTTCCCCAAAGTAAATCTGCTTGCGTGTGTTTTCTTTTGGTGTGTTCTGGCTCCAGTACTATACATATGTGCATATTTAATGTTGTATTTTTCTTTATTCATTTTTCAGGGCAGGGAAACCTCCACCTGGCTTACACCTGGATGTAGTCAAAGGAGACAAACTCATTGAGGTATGAAAATACATCTACATGACCAATGTATCATAGGCAGCAGTGGTAAGAAACTTTTTAGTCCTTGCATTTCCCATGTTCAGCTGGAAGGATTTCACTTATTTCCAGATGTTTTGAAGCTTCTGGATAAAGTGAAGCAGTTTTCCTTTGCCTGCACTCTTAAGTCTGAGTATTATGATCAACACGGAATTGTTTTTATTTTGAATGTATTATTTTTATTATTGCAGAAGAGCTTGTCTCCTTACTTTATATTTCCTACTTTGTCTTGCATCACTGATAACTAGAGGTCCTATTATTGCTGTCCTGATCAGCATTCAGATTTTTTAAAATAATATTTTCAATCAAAAGTAATAGGTCATAAACAAATAAATAAACCCTCTGACTTTACTGTCAGAGATCCAAGACAGCAACCATATTTTAGCCATAGAGAGACTGCTTCTTACTTGCAGTTTGACTAACATAGAGAAATGTTTCTGGAGAGCAAAAGTTTATAAAATTGGAGGTGAACCAAATCCTCTGAACTTGGGGAATGAAAAGCTTGGTAGATCAGGAAAGGCTGGGGGATCTGCAGGCTGTTGTTTGCTCTGTTTTACTGTGTGCTGCCACAGAGGCATCTGACAAATATTAAGAGCCCTTTCTGGTGCCTGGCAGGAGAGAGATTTGCTATTTAAAACTTGATTGGTATCTCAAATTTCATAAATAGATATCTGACAAATAAACTCCATTCTTCCTAGGCCAGAAAGCAGTTAAATGAAGCTTTAGGTTTGCCTTTATAGGGATAAAAGAGCAGAGCTCTTGAATTTACATTCTCTTTGAGTGCTCTTAGTCCCTATTTGATGACACAGACACAAAACCATGAGCAAGGGAACAATTTAGGTCAGCCTCAATTTGAAAGGAACCAGACACTAACACATTTACCTTATCTTTGTGGGACCTCATTAGCTCACAGGAGGCAGAGCTGCTTGGACCCAGTTGCTTCAAAACTGCTGTTAGAGAGCTGTAATAAGGGTGCTTCTCAGCTGATCCTTCTCACTGCATTCCCAGTGGCCTCTTATGTGAGGATTATACTTGGTTTTGAGTTTTTCAATAGCTTTTTCTGGGCCACAGTGAGCAAAGCCAAGTGGCAGTGACTTTGGCTTGTCTGCTCTGTAGCACATGGTCAAACAAAATTCAGCCTTCCTACCTCGAGACTTTCTGTGAGCCCTGCTCTGTCTTGTCATGTTTTATATAGATATGTTGTGTAGATAGCAGTACCAAGGTAAGAATGTTCTTAAACCGTTGGGGATTATCAAGCACTTGATACTAACCGAGCCATCTGTGGCCCAGGTCTTGTGCAGAGACCTGAGGTCACACTTGTGATTGCTGGGTCTCAGAAGTGCGACATTAAACAAGCCATGCAGCGTTTAAGCTCAGTGTATGAAGGAAAACACTGGGTTATAACTCAGCGGCACAAAACTTCTCAAAACACTCTATTGAAATAAAGTAAATAAAATGGTCTTCCCTTACTGCTTTTTGTAGCACTTCCAGTTTATTAATTTGTATCTTTGCACAATCTCTTGAAATACTGTCAAGTTAGAATGGTGTTGTCTTATCACTTGCACCCTTTTCAGTGTAATTTGCAAGAAACTTCTTTTGGATCAAGCTGTCAATGAGAATGAGAAACTGTTGGACCAATTTTTGTTGTACTTGAGACCATGAGATAGCGACTTTGTGGATGCACAACACTGAAATGTGGAAAATATGAAACAGCTTCTTAAGATTCACTTGTTTGCATCAGGATTTTGTTTGCACAGAAGGTTTTTTTAAATGCCTAAGGGTAAAAGGAAAAGTTTGTGGGAAGGACAAGCAGCAGCCAAGTGGAATCACAGAATGGTTCAAGTGTATTGAATGGAAGACTCGAGTGCTGAACAGAATGAGTAACATCCTATGTAGGATGGGTAATAAATCCGTTGCTATGAAGCTGAAACCTCCAGAAATCCTAATTATCTTCCTCAGAGGATTTGTTATGGCAAGCAGGATGGTATTCACAGATGAGGACTTGGATTAAACTACTGGAATCCTAAGGGGGGAAATATGTATGGTAAGAGGGACTACTGGAATGATAGGTGTCCATTAAAACTTTGGGGGAAAGCAAAGCAAAAGTATGCTAGCCTTAAGTATTTACAGGGAGAAGAGAGATCTGTTTAAGGTAAAATATTCAAAAATAAATTGATTTTTTTTTTAGGTGAGGAAACCAAATACTCGTTGAAACTCTTGTCAGTGGTTCATACTTTCTGGTGAGCTCCAAAGTGGGAGTCTTGTGAAAACCAGTATTTGTAAAGAGCCAGGAAGTGATAATAACGTAGGCAGCAGAATCCCTGGAACCTTGTTTCAGTATATTGATTTTCCTGTTTTATTTTTCCCCTCTAAATTGAAGCTTCAAGGTATGCTGTTCCCTAACAGGTAGATTCAAAGGAGCGAACTGCATGTTTTAAATGTCCCAATTGCAGGGTAATCATCATTCGTTTTGCATCTGACCCCTATATGTCACCAGATAATCTGTTTGAAGGTGAATCTCTTAACAACAATGTGATTTCTGCACCATCAAATGAGATGTAGACTCAAAAAGAAGATTATTCTGCAGCTGAACCATAAGTGCTCTTGTGGATTTTCTATCAGCCTGTATATCACTGAGGGTGCTAAGGATGTGGTTATCCTTTACTTAGCAATTTTTCACAAAACATACTGGAAATTAATATCTTTAAAATGGCCAATTGTTTGAAAACTTACGTGGCTTAATGATGGAGGGAAGGGCCTGATTGATACACAGACAGCTTGACCATCTATATATAAACATACATAAATCAGAAGATCTCACAGCGTTTACTCTCATGAAATGATCATTAAAAGTGAATAATTTGCATTAGGTATGAATAAGACATTAATTAGAAGTAGAAATTCAGTGATTGTGGTATGTACTAGTATGGAGTTGACTGATATTTATCTGCTAATTGTGATCTAAAAGAGAATAAATATTTAATGCATTTTGTATATTTACTAATGAGTACCAGCTTATACGAACTTGCAGTGTGAGGCCTGGAAAATGATACAGAAATAAGTGTTCAGCAAAACAATGCAGAGTTCAACTTACAAAATGCAAGAGAGCACATTGGGGGAAAAAAAAACTGAAAAAAATCGAAGGGAAAGTGAAATCTAAAAGAAGCAATTTAGGCAAACCTTAAAGTTGATAATGGATGGGCAGGTAATCAGACATGAATTTGCAAAGTAATTTGTAGAATACTAGGCCTTGTAGGCAAGGCAGAGGAAGAGAAATGCTATGAAATTCCATGCTTTTCCCCATTTTCCGTAAGACTTAATATTGTCACCACATAAATACCTGTCTAGGAGTTCATTGTGTCAGTCTTTGAGAGCTCTGAAAAAAATAAGAATCTCCCTGTAACTAGTTTGAAATATCAGTTATTTCTAGCTGAGCTTGTGGTTTAGACAGCTGACAAGAAGAGTGAGGAATTGCTCTTATCTGCAACACTTCTTAGTAAAAAATCACCGTAGGTACCATAGGATTTTGTCAGCATGTTCCTTTACTTTTCAGGGCTGTTTTACAAGCCTGATTTTACCATGTGCAAAATGTTTAAAGCAAGAGACTGGAACTAGGAAGGACTGGAATAAAGAACAAAAGCCTAAAATTAGTAGTTACCTGAATAGGCTAATATGGATTTGTATTGCAATATGTGTAGTGAAGATGTAAATCCAAACTGAATAAAGGTCTGGAAAATCTCCTGTTACTATAGAGAAATATTTATTTTTGATATTTTGTATTGGACTAGAGATTCTTAGCCTAGATTTCTGGCCTTGACAAGGTCCAAGATCTACCTCAAGGAATGTATAAAAAAATATGAGCAGATGCCAGAGACTCTTTCCTAGGAGATACTCTTATATTTCAGAGAGTTATTTTCCTTTCCAGGTTGTCTTAAATTGACTATTTTTTTTTAATGGGCATAAATGACATGGCCATATTCATCTCTTCTGATTATTGCAAGGGCAACATTTGCATTTCTTTGCCGAACAGTCTCAGACAGAACTAAAATATCTATCAGCTCTTGATGCTTCAATTGTTTTACTGCTTTGATTTTGCTCTGTTTATTTGTGTTCTTGAGTGTGTGTTTTTCAGGAAGACCTGAAGGATTATAGGAATTTAACATGCTTTTGTGACGTTCTACCCAGAAACTCATCATTGATGAGAAGAAGTATTATCTTTTTGGGAGAAATCCTGATCTGTGTGACTTCACCATTGACCACCAGTCCTGCTCTCGGGTCCATGCTGCCTTGGTCTATCACAAACACCTCAAGAGGGTTTTCCTCATAGATCTAAACAGCAGTAAGTAACGTGACATTTAAACGGGATGGGATGTGGAGTGGCTTCAATCCAAACTGCTTTCAGGAAACTTCAGAAGAGTCCTTGTGTTTCCAATTTGAACTTACATTAACTTAAATCTAGAAGAGAGCTTTTTAGTGAATAGAAACGAAACCCTATGTTTCAGTTGTTAAACATTTCTGAATCTGAGACATACTTTTCTTTGTGGAGTTTTTCTGTTTTGTTTCTTGTTGTATTGTTGTGGGGACAGGTGGCAATAATCAGAATTAATGAAAGGCTAATGAGGGCGAGGAGCAAAGGAGTGCATGCAGAGGTCCTGAACTTCTCAGCACTCGAGCTCCAACACGGCGAGCCCAAGCTGGTGGCTAACAGACCGTTTTCTATTCCCTTGTTCTTAGCACATGGCACGTTCTTGGGTCACATCCGTTTGGAAGCTCACAAACCTCAACAAATTCCCATTGACTCCACGGTTTCCTTTGGTGCTTCCACGCGGGCCTACACGCTGCGGGAGAAGCCTCAGACACTGCCGTCGGCGGTGAAAGGAGACGAGAAGATGGGTGGTGACGACGAGGAGCTCAAGGGCTTGCTGGGCCTGCCAGAGGAGGAAACGGAGCTTGACGTGAGCACCGTGACACTTGTGCCTAGATGGAACATCCATCAAAAGAGATAGCGTTCCCCACTTGTTTGCCTACGTCCACATTCCCCATTTCTTCACCTTGGAGACAGCCCAAGTTGTCTCCTGCTGGCAGGTGTCCACAGACCGTGTCATTCTGCCATGACAGGCCTGGCTCCATGCCCTAGTGAGCCTGCTGCTCTTGCAGGCAGCCTTCAGCCAAGTCCTTCACCCCAACCAGTGGTGATTTCCTCGAGTCCCCTCCATGGTCACACAGCCGTGAACACAGATTTGCTTCCTGTGTTAGCTAGGGAGGAGCGAGGAAGCAGTGTGTGTGCCATTGGAGCACCCATTTTCCTTAGAGGCCTAAAATTTAAGCTAAGCTATGTGCTATACATATATATACTTTGAAATGCACAGTCACATCCTTAAAGCAAACTTCATATACTAGTTACTTAGACTGTTTCTTCTCTGAATATATTCTTAGAACCTGACAGAGTTTAATACAGCCCACAACAAAAGAATTTCCACACTAACCATAGAGGAAGGAAACTTGGATATTCAGAGACCAAAGAGAAAACGGAAGAACTCCAGAGTGACGTTCAGTGACGACGATGAAATCATTAACCCTGGTGAGTGTTGGTCTAGCTTGTTTTACCCTAGGTGATGCCTGTGGAAGCCCTTTGCCAGGGTTCACACAGGAATCCCTCATGGTTGTGTATAAAGAAGGAGAACAGAAATTTGGCAGTGACTGAGGCCTGCTCTGTCAGAGAAGCTGTCACAGCCCTCAGGTCTTGGATTGCTGATTCCCTGGTTCTACCAATAAAAATTCTGTGTGATTCCTGGACAAGAGCATCACACCCAGCTGCATTGTACAGTTTCATCAGTCTGAAGGATCTCAAGGGTCCAAAACGACTTTTTAAATTGTCACCGACTTTGGAATCTAAACGAGAACTGAACTTCACTCCCATAATGCTTGCCCTACCTGTTGTCTCACGGACTCTGTTTTTGCATCTCCTCCTCGGTTTTTCTCCCTGCTTTTCTGCATATCTGAAACAAGTGCTTCTAATTCAAAATGACGTGTCTGAAGATATATCTAGTTCCTCATTAATCATTTTTCTTCCTTAGCCATTTGATACTGATGATGTTCCCACTAATAGGAGCATTGTCGATATAAGGTATCATTAACAAGTGCAAGTTATTAATAATTACGGATTTTTGCCTACCCTCTGGAGATTAGGTTTCTTTTAGCAGTTTCTTTTACCTTTCTCCCCAGAATGGCTGATAAGCCCATGTTGAGGCAACCAGTAGGTGTCCCCATCCATACACTTAGTTACTTGCTTTACTGTGGTCTGCTTGTTCTTACTGAGGGTTACCACAACACCAGCTTGGAGAAGATCAGTTCTTCCTACAGATTGCTTTACCTGACAAATGTTTTTTTTCCTCTGTATTCTTACTGAAACTTTGCTGTGCTTCCCTTTACAGAGGATGTGGACCCATCTGTTGGACGTTTCAGGAACATGGTACAGACTGCAGTAGTCCCTGTAAAGGTAGAGTAACTCCCAAATCTTTAATAACCTTAAACATAGAGCTCTATGATGGAAACTGTTTTATTGTTACCCAGACATTGTGTTCACTTCTTGCAGTTAACTTCTTTTTTAGCAAATTGGACAGTTTCTCTTCAAGCCCTGCTCAATTCTACAATAACACATTGAAATTGAATTCTGCAGGAGTAGGGAAGGTCTGAAGAACTTCAGAATAGCCAAGGAACACTGTAATAATGTCACTGATCACTAGTTTAGACTAAATCATGTGGAAAGGATAATTCTACATAAGACTGCCTGTCGATTCAAATGATCAGGAGAGAGACAAAATCACCAAGGTGATCTAGAAATTGCACTTGTTTTTCACTGTGTGCGGAAGGAGGGATTCTGTGTCTTCATGGTCTGGTCTTCAGGATAAGCTCAAGTCTCACAAGTGAGTTCAGGAGGCGAAGAGGAGCGCAGAGCTGCTCTAAGTTAAGCCTGAGCTAATATCTCAATTTCTGTCACCCCTTCCTTCATTGTGCATTGCTAATAGTTTATAAAATAGCTTTCAAGGAACATCAAAAGAAGGCTGAGACAAAGAAGTGGAAAATGGTTAATCCACCCACGTTTGTGGCTACTTTGTGTGTTGCCAGCCTAGGTGCCTTTTCGGGGAAAACGGCATTGGAATCCAGTTTATGTGGCTTGCTTTCTTGTTCCGTGCGTCCCGAATAACTCTTCAAACACTTCCACCTACAGAAAAAACGGTTGGAGAATCCGGGCTCGCTGACGACGGATGATTCTGCGTCGCGGCGCATGCAGAGCTTCCCGTACAGCGGAGGATTGTATGGTGGGTTACCCCCAACCCACAACGAGGCGGGTTCCCAGTCGCACGGCGTCCACGGGACAGCGCTCATCGGGGGGCTGCCCATGCCCTACCCGAATCTTGCCCCCGACGTGGACTTGACTCCTGTCGTACCCTCAACAGTGACCATGAACCCTGCTCCAAACCCTGCTGTCTTTAATCCCGAAGCTGTGAACGAACCCAAGAAGAAGAAATATGCCAAGGAGGCCTGGCCGGGCAAGAAGCCAACCCCGTCCTTACTGATCTGAGCAGGGGGTTGCTGAGGGAGGGGGGAGTTACGAACTCAGAAACTGTTCATGTGCAGTATCGTCTTTTTAAAATTTCGGTGTCCTAACCACGTATAATATCAAGATTGGAGAAGTGAAATATCCTTTAAAGATCTGTCTTCAAATGTTTTTATATGTATGTTTAAGAAAATACAGCTCCCATCTCCTTTTGAACCAAAATATCTGGCAGCCTTTTCTTAGCCGTTTCTCTTCCTAAAGGCCTTTACTCTGAACTTTGGTCCACCAGTCGCAGGGGCAGAGCCACAGTTACCTTTAGTGGCAGCTGCAAGGGGGCCTGTCCAGGTGCAGAGCTCACCGGGAGCAGCGCCCTGCCCTGGAGCAATTCCAGTCGACGGGAATGCGGCATATGCTGGGTCAAGCCTTTCAGAAATCACATCCATGTGAGTTCTAAAACTTGCAAAATATAGGTCAGTTTTATTTTAACTTTACAAAATCCAGCATTGTGGTGGATTTGCTTTTTCCTTTTTTCCCCTTTTTTAAGTTTAAATCCATTTTTTTTTAATTACTACCAAAAACACTACAGCATCCCACCAGTTTATGAAAGTGGACAAGAAATCGGTGGGATTCCCGCACTGTGCCCTGGTATTGTCCGGTCAAATGCCCCATGGATGCATACATGGATGCATGCGGATGCATATGTGGATGGATCTGGGCTTGCACTGGTGCCTATAGCAGCACGGTGAGCCAAGGAACTGCCACTCTCTGCACTGTGCAAGCTGTAAACAGCAAAGCAGTGATGATCCTTTCCACTGAGGAACCTTTCCTCAAAGCAGAGGGAACACGGTGGAGGACACCTTCTGTCTAACTTGATGGCCTTTCTAATTCAAATAACTTCGTTTTTATTTGCAGATGGAACCTGTGAGATTAGAGTAGGTATGAGATAGAAAAGGCACAAGTGAAAATGATCAGCCATCAGAAGCATTGGAGGACTTGCATAATTAACAGCTAAGCTCACAATATTCACAATATTTTATTTTTGTCTGCTAGCAACAGCAGGTGAGAAATGAGAGCTGCTTACAGGCAGAATATGAATTCTCAGAATCTGCCTCACCTTAAATGAACAGTCCCCAGGTTGGCTTCCTAACTTTACCTGTTCTTCTTTTATACTACTTCATGACTTCTGTCCTTTGAATAAAATGAGGAGTTTGATTTGGATAGTTGCTCCTTCCCTTCAGATTCTCATTTTTTACATTGCAAAATCTGTTTCAAAGGTATTTAGGTACAGTGGTGTTATTTTACATAAAGCAGAGCTCTTTTTCCTGAGGTCTGTTCTGGATTCTCTGCACTGTGTAATGCAGCTCAGCTGTGTAGCCACATTCCTTTGCTTGGGGGTTCCTCCGGGATGTGTCTGCTGCAGGGAGCAGTATCCGCAGCCGGTGGCAGCGCGTGCGTGGGAGCACCTGGAAAACGAGCGCTCCGGACGCCGCGGTGCCGCTTCCTTCCTTCCGCCGCGTCCCGGGAGCTGCTGGGGACGGGTGCCCCGACCCCGCTGCGGCTTGTGCTGCTGCACAGCGATTGCTGCCATCGTGTTATCGAGGGAAGAACGAGCTGGGAGCCGCCCCACGGAGCGCGATGCCTCGAGGGCCGGGCAGGTTTCCCCCTCCTCTTTCACATCTACCAGAAAACACGGTGGGGACGAACGCAGCAGCTTTGCCCTGACACAGTTGTGCAGCAGGGGGTATAGGTTGCTACTCACAATGGTCCAGTCCTCAGGCATTCTTGCTCCAAACACTCCACGCTCTTCAAAAGCTTTTCTCCCCCTTTTCTTTTCTTCTTCTTCTTTTTTTTTTTAGGTTTGCTTCTTTCCAGAATGTAAAATTTTCTTTTCCCTGCCAGTCTGTTTTATGAAGGCAACTTTTTAGGGCAAGACTAGTAAAGGCAAGTAAAAGTTTATTTTTTTTCCCTTCCTCTTTCTTTTTCCCTCTTTCCCCTTCCATCTCTGTCATTCTACCCTTTTCTTCCTCCCCACCCCAAATCTCTTCCCCTTTTCACTTTTTTTTCTTTTTTTTTTCCCCTCGTAGTGGCTCTTTGCAAGTTCTTTCTTGGAAAGGGAAGCTTTCTTGCTCATTGTTTTTAAAGCTCTTCCCCTCCCTGGATTTGTACAAGCTCTCATTATTTCAGAGCTTAGAGGCCACAGCTGGCCATACAGGAGGGGACACTATAACATCCAGGGGCTTTGTACAGAAGTTTGTACACTTGTGTAATATGTAATAGGCCTTTTCACTCTTTCTGTTGAGCTTTTTACCTGTAACCTTTATTATGTTGTAAATTAAATGCAGATTTTGCCAGTTTGGAGAGTTTAGTGTGTTCGTTCCCAGCCTGTGCTCCCTCTGCACTTGTGATCCTGCGTTTTGCGGGGCTCTCTGGAGACTTCTGCCACAGTAAAAAGTACCTGGGGCCGCGGGTCGCGCTCGGGCCGGCGCAGCGGCATCTCGGAGTGAACGTGGAGCCGCTTTGGGCAGAATCCTCCATCTGGAGAAGTTGTACCTAGAGCCCAGCTTTGCTCTCCCCACCGCCCAGTTTGCTGCCTCTGTCCCATAGAGTGGCCTTGGGCATCCTAAAAGCACCATCCCTTCTCACACCGTGTTCCTGCACCCTGTCCCAGGCTTCCTTCTGTTGCGAAGAGCAGGAGGCTGGAACCCAGTTAAGGATAATTTAACTGCAATTTGTCCGGTTGTGAGTTTTGCTGAGCCTGGTGCTACACCAGGTTGTACATTGGTATTTGTTCTCAATCTAGCAATGCTGCTTCAAGCAGCTGGGCCAGAAACATCTTTCTTAGGATTGAATCCTCATGATTTATGTGCAAGTTGTTGATCTGATACGAGTAGAAAGAGTTGGAACAGATTAAAAATTTAACTTGTGGTTTCATATTTTAAATGCCAATGTGGTCATGAGCTAATTTCTTCTTGGAGTATTAAAAAGGAGGCAACTTGCATAATCAACTCAGTCACACTCAGCAATGCAGAATGGGAACCAGAAAGTGCAGAGGTTGTCGCTGAATAAATGATCGGCCTGAAGAGGAACGGCCACGTTTTCCAGACACATCGGTCCTTGCAACCAGGGCCAAACCGACATTGTAACAAGATTGTTCCCCTCTTCTTGCTTCTAGTTTTCAAATATAAACGTACCGACTCCAGCAGGTGTCTCGAGAGCTGGATGGTGGAAGTTGTTCCATTCCCGTGCGTTTTGCAATAGGATCTCTGTTTTTGACACCATGAGGGAGTCCCTCGAAGAACGGCTGTTTTTGCTGCTCCCTGGAGCCTCTCAGGAAAGCAGGAACAGCTTCCAGCACAGCACGAGTCCAAGTCACCGCTCCAGCCTCAACGTGAGCTCGCGTGGCTGCACCAAGTGCTCCCAGACTCTGGAATGAGGAAAGACTACAGTAATGGGATGGGCTGGGAAACGGCTCCGGAAGCGTGAAAAGAAGTGGAGCTTTAAAGTGGCTACTGCTGCGTGCTGGAGTTAGATGCTGTTGAGAGGTTTGTTCCAAACACACTTAAATACAGAGTAGTTTGTGGGTCCTTTGAACTCAAAACTGTCCTAAACGAGCAGTAGAGCTAAAGGAAAAAAGGTTCCCGTTTTTGTTTCTGCTCAACAGCAGGCACTGCTCCTCCTCCTCCCTGGCTGTGTGGTGCCAGAAGGAGCCGTCTGCCCGGTGCTGGGGAGAGGAATCCTGGTGCGGGATGGAGACAGTGACACGGGATTGTCGAGGTCAGGGCAGGCCACTTGGGACTTTGTGTCACTTCTAAATCGGCGCTTCTGGAGAGTCCCGTCCCGCCAAGCAGCCGAGCTGCCTCGTGCCCCGAGCCCAGGGCCGCGCGCGACGGCCGCGTCTGACTCGATGCCCT